TAATTCATAAAGGTAGAGGGGTAACGTTTCGTTTGGCGGCTAGTGTATGTAGGTAAATAGATCGAAGCAGATGTAGATGAATAGACGGAGGTGGATGTAGGCCAATAGATGGAGGTGGATGGAGGTGGGTGGATAAATAGATCAGTGGGTGTAGGTGAATGAAGAGAATCGAGGTGGGTGATAATGGAGGATGAATAGATGGAGGTGGATGTAGGTGAATAGATCAGGGATGTTAATGAATAGATCGATGTTGATGAAGGTGAATAGATTGGAGTTTGATGTAGTGAATAGATGGAGATGTGGATGTAGGCATAGATGGAAATGGGTGTAGATGAATGGAGGTGGGTGTAGGTGAATGAATGGAGGTGGATGTTGTGAATAGATCAGTGGATGTTAATGAATAGATGGAGGTGGATGAAGGTGAATAGATCAGTGGATGTAAATGAATAGATTGAGGTGGATGAGTAGGTGAATAGATGGAGGTGGATGTTGTGAATAGATCAGTGGATATTCCAGAATATATCACGTGCGGAAGGACACCAGAAATTGATGTTCACACATTGGAGGTGGACCCAGGTGAATAGAATCGAACCCGGGTCTTCGGCAGTGACGTTAATGAACGATTTGAACCACTGAATAGATGGAGATTGATGAAGTGAACAGATGGAGATTGATGTAGTGAATAGATGGAGGTGAATGTAGGTGAATAGATGGAGGTGGATGTTGTGAATAGATCAGTGGATGTTAATGAATAGATCGAGGTGGATGAAGGTGAATAGATGGAGATTGATGTAGTGAATAGATGGAGATTGATGTAGTGAATAGATGGAGGTGAATGTAGGTGGATAGATCGAGGTGGATGTAGGTAAATAGATCAAGATGGGTGTAGATGGATAGACACAACGGGGTGCATGTGTATAGCTAGTTCGGGGTGGGTGTGGATAATAGATCAAGGTGGGCTGATTACGCTAATCGATAGACCGGAGTAATGTTGATCTAGCGGTATGGCTGGTTTGGAATTTTGCTCTACAGAACTGTACTCGTAATGTTTATTTATCGTTTATGTCAAAACAAACTCAAAATGACGTCACGATAAATGTGACGAGAGCCTCCCGCTAGAACATCGGCATTGCAAATTGTACACCCCAGACTCGACAAACAACAATGGGTATTTAAACAATTTATTAACCAACAATATACATAATCATGTCAACGTAACACATATTTATTATCGCTTCATGTTTCTCACCAGGCCTTTCAAAATATGACTGACAATGTGCATGTACAACTATTGCAAATTTCTTAATTAGATATGAAGCCAGTAGGCATGCCAGTTCCCCACAAATGTATCAATTGCGTGCTTTGACAGTCTTGTAAAAGCTAAATGAGATTCGAACGGTCAAAGAACGCAGTTCCGTCCTGATATTGTGTATATGTATACATTCCCCCATGCATTAATTCAACAACAATTTGTCATTTGTGGGAATGACCACTGTTATCGGTTTGTTTCCAAACACTCTACTTGTACTAACAATCATCTGATAATCTTGCACGATACTGAACAAGTGATGAGGCAGCCCTCAATTGTAGTTTCAAATTATAAAGGTGTATCCACAGATATTTTTATGTTTTCCTGGATGTCTTATAAAGACTTAACTGTTATTAAATCATTAGGTAGTGCTTATCGGTATGTACTTCAGATCTGTTCACCGAGATTCAAACACAAGAGAGAGACTGAACATTACCCCCAGTGTTTCGGTGCTATTTCAGCGACAGAGGCAAGACTGAAACAGTCAAACACAGTTGTGTCGAAGTCGAGTTATCCCAGATTCGATACCACAGAACAGTAATTAAATAGAGAAATACGAAGGGAAGAAACTTTAATTTGAGACAACCGTGAGTTCGAGACAACCGTGTTCGACACAACCGTGTTCGACTGTAACCACCAACCAAATATTGTTTAAGGCACGCTCATAGGCAAAAGTGACAAAGATCCCATAATTTATCTTACAACCATCTTGTGAGACAGACATGGGAAGGTATAGGTGACACTTTATTTCTGGCATGGATATAACATATTGAAGATACATTGAAGAGTCAAATATTCAAAACGCCGTATATCTTTAGACCATAAGCCCTCATATAATTATTAATCCTTGAGTTACAGATCCCTTTTAAACCGTATGAGTGAATGAAGTGGCTTACACGTTGCTTTGAACGACAGTTTTGTTATATCACGTCATGTGGTCAGCTTGACTTGGGAAGAAGCGATTCAGTTTCTGGATGTTCATCCTTTGCTGAAACCTACGGGCACGGATATGGCGGTGACAAACGAAGCGGCACAAGCACAGCTAACCAGGATTCGAACCCACTTAATTGATCCGCCTCAACTTAATTGCAATATGAGTAATACAAACATGTCACATATACGTTTGACGATGAGCACATAATAGTGAGTGAGTTTAGTTTTACGCCGCTTTTAGCAACATTCCAGCAATATCATGGCCGGGGACACCAGAAATGGGCTTCACACATTGTACCCATCGAACCCCGATCTTGGGCGTGACGAACGCACGCTTTAACCACTAGGCTACTCCACCGCCCTTAGTACATAATAAGGTTTCAGGTACGTTTATATAGGTTACAAGAATATCAAACGTGATTCCGTCAGTTAAAATAACTGCGTAACAAAATGAAAAAGTAAGATGTGGGGGCGGAGATAATGTCCAAGAATGCCTACCATACAAGCACAACTAGATGGCATCATGATTGAATTAGGCGCTTGTGGGAGGTGATATTGATCCGATTTAATTAACTTGCAGAAATGTACAGGCTGTCGGGAAGTGTGACACAACTGGAAGTACCATTATTGCTGCCAGTTTTAGCGAAATACAACAGAATAGTTTGAACCGTGTCACCTTGATCGATTATCAAATCATTTGGCTAGGCGCGCATATAAACTATAAGCATATTAACAAATTTCATTCTCCTTCATTTTCGTAAAACTGGGCTTTAGAATGCGGGCGGAAAGTACAAGTGATACATTGCAAGTTAAACCATTGAACCTGGATAACGTTCTGTCAAAATAAAAATCAGGATGAATTCGAAATTTGGATTCGAACCCACGCCCAGTGCGGGCTCGGGAACGGTTAAGTCCTAATGCGCAAATAGGCACATATGTACTTCTACGACAATAACAACTTTATCTGGAAGAAAAGTTTTCAAAGAATACGAAGGGAATTTTTGCATTTTAGATCTAACTTATGACGTGATTTGCCAAAAGTATATGTAAATATTTCATAAAATATTGAAAGGTAAGATACTTTGATATTATTATAAAACGTTTTCCTGCTATGACGATATTTGCCAAAATGGATATTGAAAGGTAAATATTTCATAAAACGTTTTCCTGCTAAATATTGAAAGGTAAGATACTTTGATATTATTATAAAACGTTTTCCTGCTATGACGATATTTGCCAAAATGTATATGTAAATATTTCATAAAATATTGAAAGGTAAGATACTTTGATATTATTATAAAACGTTTTCCTGCTATGACGATATTTGCCAAAATGTATATGTAAATATTTCATAAAATATTGAAAGGTAAGATACTTTGATATTATTATGACAGGTTTTCCTGCTATTAAGCCTTTAATAAGCTCATAATTTTTGAATTTTTGCATTTATGGATGTTACTTGTCATTATGACAGGTTTTCTTGCTACTAAGCCTTTAATAAGCTCATAAGCTTAAAAAGATCTTAAAAGGATCTCATACAAGATGGATAAAAGTTACATTGTGAAATGGCAATGCTATTTGTAAACTCTGTACTACACCATTTTCTTACGACGTAATGCTACGAACGCTTTGTAAATACGGTCCCTGGACACTTCTAGGAAACACGGGTTCTGCGACAAACCAAAGGAGCAATGTTCAAAATACCGCAGTTCTATATGAAACTGAACAATGTTAAATTTGTTTCCGTTTAATGTTGAAACAGAATTGTGAAGTATTCACGCCATGCTTTATGCGGAGTGATAACAACGTAACATAATGTGAGGATAAAACAAATAGATACAATGGTTTACTGGAAGTAAATGTTCCACACGTGTGTGACCGTCATGTCAGAATGATTGAAAGCCATTGTATAATGATGCTTTGTTATTTGTGCGTGTGAACTATGTGGGTGAAGCGATTTATCACTGTCAACCACTTGACATCACATTTCAGAACTTACTGGAAACTTTAGTATATGTTTGGGTTTGATCAGGACGTAGAACAGCCTGTTGAAACATTTCTTTGGTAAAAGAAGTTTACAGTACAACACAACATGTTCCAATGAACATATTCGGAAACTGATCCACCGAAATTTCAATTTCGTTTTGGTAATACATGAATAATGAATGAGGTGAGATATTGTTAGTGTCTAAGGTCTAAGACGCATGACCTGGGTCTCGATCCCAAAGCATTCGTAGCGCTACGGTATTCGTAAGTAAACAATAGAGTTGTGATAGGTCGTAACGTTACGAACGCTTCGTGGATCGGGACCCTGGATGATATGTTTACATCAAATAATCAGAGCAAATCGAATATAACGTTAGAATCAATTAGCAGTGTCACATTGTCAATACAATAATGCCTATTCTCAAAGGCAGCCCTATTTCAATATCCATATTTTCACCGGCCTCTTCAAGAGATACCATGCCATTGTCTTTTTGTTTGCGACAGGTCTCAAATCGAAAACTATTCCGTCATATGAAGAAATTGTCACAGCTGGATTCTTCCACCGTCGTCATATGCACCAATGTCATGTCTGTATATCATTACAAAAATAATAATCATTGTTTTCATTTTTCTTCTCAAGGAAAGGAATTCTGTGCATGACATCATCCCGAATGTGCGTTCTTGAAATCCTTTCGGAACCGTTAAGAAACGTCATTGTTGAACGGATCCGGACTCTTTCTCCGATTGGAAGTTGGGATTGATACAGCAATGGTTATATGGCCAATTTCACCGGTTTGTAGCCACTCGGAGCATACTGTTGTCCACTCCAGTTAGGATAGACAACTCGGCCGTGAGAATATTTGTACTTCATCTTGCCAGTCCATGTGTTATTGAGCCCGGATTCTCGGAGTGCGCACTGGTCAAGCTGAAATATGAGTTGTGTCATTATACACGAGAAGAAGCTTTTGCATAATAGAAACCTATGAGAATTCTGGTTGTAAAGAGCAAATAAATGGATCTGTTTGTCAGGCTCTGGGACCTGCTTGATTGCGTGTCAGATCCGTTTATTGACAGAACACTGTCATATAGCTGTGGCGTAAATCAACCATTTTAATCAGGAATCAAAATATTTTTAGAACTACGCCAAAGTTTATTATGTAATAATTTGAGAAGTGTTTGGTTCAGATGCGTAATCAGCGAACCAATTCTTGGCATTTGGACTTGATCATTCAATAATAATAACGCTGGGAGTATAAACGGAAATCAAGCTCAAAGACACATGAACAACGCACAAAGATATACAATTACAAAAACATTAAGAGTGAGAATGAAAGAGTGACTATGGTTTTACCCGCCGTTCTAACAATATCCAGAAAAGGGCTTCACACAAAGTAACCGTGTGGGAATTGAACCCGGTCTTTGAGGAGTGAACGCTTTAACCACTGGGCTACCCTACTGCCCTGTTAAGCATACTAATGTGACTAACAAAACAGTTTCTTGAAATGAAAGGAGACTATCACAACTTGACCTATGCATTTGTAAAATCAAATTAGATACATTTGATACCTTGGTTACGTTTACAGGCAAATGTGACTGCATTGTGGCTTTATCTATATAGCAGAAAGTACTAAAATGCCTCCTCTCATTTCTCAAGGTACATGATCCACAAAACCCTTCTTCTTCTTCTTATCTGAAATTTATCAATCTAGATCAATCTAAAAAACCTTAACATCCTCAGCAACAGCGAAACTGGCAACAAGGATCGATGTGTGCTATAAATCGAAAAAATGGTAACGAATATGACTCGACAGTCAACCATTTTATATGCGGAGTCTCAAAAATTTCAAAATATTATAAAACCGTTGACTTGACTTGCAATACTTTGCTGTACTTAGTTGTGGAATATCAGCATTGTCGTATACGCACACACAATGTGTATATGGTGTACGAATACTACCTGATCGAAATACCATTTTACTCCCTTGTTTGGGGAAGGTTGAACATAAATAATCTAAAATACAATCATCAGTAATATTTTTATATAAACTTAAAGTTTCAATATTTGGATAGTCAACTGACCATCTTCAAAATAGAAAATATTTGCATAAAGGATTAAAGTTCCTGTATGTGGATTGCCAAGTGACATCTTCAAAATTGATAATATTTTCATAAAGGATTAAAGTTCCCATATATGGATTGCCAAATAACATCTTCAAAATTGATAATATTTACATAAAGGAATAAACTTCCTATTTATGGACTGCCAAATGACCATCTTCAAAATGGGCAATATATAAATAAAGGATTACAGATCTTATCTGTGGATTGCCAACTGACCTCTATGTCCGGTATGCTCCGTCTTGAGAGCCTGCTCTTAGATGTGGAACTGTCCGAGCTGTTGAAGTCGAACATACTTCTCTTCCTCCACATCAGGTTGGAGAGGCTGTACAGAAACTTCTGTTTGAACATCGTGCAGGTGAGGGTGTAGAGGAGGGGGTTCAGAGCACAGTTGACAGGAAGGATGAACACGACCACCCAGCCGTAAAGGTAGCCAGGTATTTTGAAGCCTGCAAGATAAAAAACCCGAATAATAATAAAGAATTATCGATGGCGTTGGAATGAGAGTATGTTCCTGACACCTACATAATCGTGGGGAGGGTTGGGATGACTGGGGAGGGTTGTGATGGGGAGGATGAAACCGTGCATTCTTGCATTCCTGCCTTAGAGTGAGTGAGTTATCTTGTAGTGAATCGGGATTTTGCCATATTCCAGCAGTATCAGGGGGCACCAGAAAAGGGGCTCAGATATGTGGAGAATCGAACCCCGTCCTTTGATGAGACAAGCTCCCGGACACCCAACCAGCCCCATTATTCTTTCAATTGTACAGAGGGGGACAACAGAAATTAGTTTCACCAAGTGTACCCTTTTGAAATGTCAAATCCGAGCATCCTGTGAGACGAGCGAACAGCAGAAGAGAGGCATTAGGTTAAATGATCTTAAGGTCGTACTTGTATGCAGATAACATCGACAACAAACTGTCATTAAGGAATCTCTGCTATAAACACTTCTGTTTATGTGTCCTTACCCAGTAGTGCAGCCACTTTGAGAGCAATAATTGGAACCCAGCAGGCGAAGTCAGTGATTACAATGAAGAAGAACCTCTTCATCAGGGACCGTTCTTGATTCTCGTTGGTTGACCGGAACAACATACGTGATCTCCGTATGGACACAAACATCGCCACATAAGCATATGCGATAAACACGAAGGACACCATGTTTATTCCCAGGAAAATAAAAGCCGAGTATTCCCATCCTCTGTTGCGCGGCTCATGAAGCAATAGAGGGATACAGACAGCATTGTTCCTGTAGAAATACGTCCCGAAGTAGTTGAGGCCAACGATGGGAATGGTCGCCAAAGCGAGACTAAACAACCAGATGGATCCCATTAAAACATAGGCAAGCCGTAGGTGTCTCCTTCTCTCAGACAGAGGGTACATGATGCACAGATACCTGTCAAGGGTGATGACGGTGAGAGTGAGGACCGACACCTCGCTGCTTACGGTGCTGAGGAGGCCGCAGACGTCGCAACCCCAGCTGTCCCTCCATTGGTGGTCAAAGGAGAGGTAACGTCCTCTGTATCTCATGTCGTGGACAGCGATGACCATTAAGTAGATGCCCATCAGAAGGTCCGCCATGGAGAGGTTCTTGATGAAGAAGGAATGTATCTGGTTGTCTTCTTTCAGGATGAAACGGCCCATGAGGACAGCGCAGTTGCCGAAGCAGGCGAGGATTGCGACGATCCAGACGGTGACCCTGAGGATGATGTTTTCCAGGAGGTTCTCCCTGCTGGAGATACCGTCCCCGCGGGGTTCACACACGTCGATGTTCTTGATGTATACGCACAATTGAAATCGATCGAAGTATCTATAAAAAATAAATGTAGAAATAAAATAATAACATGATAAAAATATATTAAGCATTTACACCAGGTTAGTTGATTATGTACAGGCAAATGCATATTAACATTTTGTTGTTGATTAGGCAGATATCACTGAAATTGAGGGTGCAAATGAGAATGAACAGTTCTGCAAAAATGCCACAAATTATATTTGGAATTAGATATTTTCTTTCAGAATAGGCTGGGTTCGCATCGATAAGTTTTTCTAGTATGAAGGTACCATGAATTCCCTCAAGGAAACATCTGCATTTACAACATGTGTCAGATTTTTATACATTATGCGGTGGGGGTGCCTAGTAATTAAAGCGTTCTATCATTAGGTCGATGACCCGGGTTCGATTCCCCACATGGGTACACTGTGTGAAGCCCATTTCTGGTGTCCCGTGCTGTTACATTGCTCAATTAATGCTAAACGCGGCGCAAAACCTTTCTCACCCATTTATACATTAGACTAAATGCCCTGCCATGTCTAAATAAATTCCAAATAGCCTCCAAAAAGCCATCTTTAACGACTGAAATGTACAACAAATGGTTTGGCAAGACGACAAGTTCGTACTGACGCCCACCACTACCTTACCAGTAAAGTGAAGAAAACGGATTAATTTTGCATTGATCAAATTGTTTCTCATGTTCGGTACTCACATGTTCTTCAGTGTCGACAGATCGTCAAACGTCCCTGGCTGCACTCCATGGAAGTGAGTATTATCTCTCAAGTCTCTGAACATTGAAAAATGAAATTTACTTATTGTATTATATATTCCATTTCAAATCGTGATTCCCATCTAGTCATATAATAACACTCGTTCAAAGACGTATTATGTGTAAATTAGTGTAAACAAATTTTGAAAACCTTTTCAATATTCATAAGAAATCTCTGCCAAATGCAGAATCCATTGTGCGATTCTAACTATATTATGCATCCGTACATGAATCCCAATCAAATTACGACGAAAGCAGGTGAAAAGGTGAGCGTATCCCTCCCACCGTCTTTTCACCGTCAAAACCAATTATATGAATATGTAATCTTTGCGACCAGAAGTATTTTGTTTTGCATTTTGATATTAAACATGACGCGTTTAAGCGTATGTAATCTGTTTGGATTAGTATACCATACACGTTAGTGACATTGATGCAGTTTCAGAACGTGACCATCCAAAGGATTATCTTACTGTACGTACATTGAGGTTATTTGCTCCAAAGGTTTAAACACGCCCTTTATTATGTAGTTGAGGCTGTTGTCCCTCAGATTTCTGAAAGAGTTCACACACAAGTTTAGAATTCAACAACAAAATGATCTTCCTCTTTAAACGACCACAGCTATTGTTGAAATAAGAGTTATTAATATTTTTCAGTGTTTTAACTTTCATAACCATAGGGTATAACTGATTAATAATATGTACAATTTAGTATTGTGATTGCCCTTTCGTCAAAATGGAAAATTGCTTCCCGTTTCGTGCCAGGAAGTCATGGTCGTGGATTAATATACTTTGAGGGTTCCATAAAGTGAAAAGTGAACTGTTCAGAATTTGAACGCAGTTTAGATTATCTTTAACCTCAACCCGATCCCACTAAAACAGCGTTAGTGGTCAGCTATGTATTCAACCAGTGTTTGTTGATGATAGCACTGTACTCACAGTTGCGTGAGATTGGTTAGGCCCACCAATGTGTTCAGACGGAGGCTGGAAATGAAGTTTCCGAACAGGACTCTGCAAGGTGAAATATACAGGTATAACTATTGATGACCTGTGTGTCTAGGGTGACGTACTCCAAGCATATACTATACATCTTTGTAGAATGTTAAAGTACTACATGTATGTGAGATCATGTTCTCCAGGTATTGTGTTGATGTTCTCTAGGTATTGTGTTGATGTTCTCTAGCTATTGTGTTTATGTTCTCTAGCTATTGTGTTCATGTTCTCTAGCTATTGTGTTCATGTTCTCTAGTTATATGTGATAGTGTACCCAAGGTATGCACACTGATAGCAAAGATATATCGACCTAACACACTTACATATACATGAATGAGTACCGTTTTGTTAGCTTTTCCTCACACATATTGAAGTTCCAATCAAAACACGCACCTTGATATTAGAGTGAAAAGAGTTACGCCCCTTTCTACCGCTCACACGCCGCAAGCATCACTCCAGCCATTATGTCTAGCCTCGTGTTATAACGCACACTATTTACAAGGAAAGGAAAGCGGTACTTACAGATGTTTTAAGCTCTTCAGAGTAAGAAAGGAACTGGATTCTATAGATGCAATTCGATTTCGAGATATGATTCTGAAATTAGAATGAAAAACCTGATAAATGAACTTTCTGGTACAACACAAGAAAAGGCAATTACATACATACATTAGAATTTGTACAGTATTCATAACTGGTACAAAACACCAGTCGTTTTCAAAGATGGAAGCAGCTACGGTATACACTTTGCATAGTGAGTGATCGATACGTTCTTGGGAAGAGGAGTTTCAATTCGCTGATCAGAGTTGCGTCCCTTAGAGGTTGATAGGATCCGATGACGGGGTGATACGTCATCTTCTGGTGGATTTGACCAGGCTACTGTTGGATTTGACAACCTAAGCCCAGCATCACTTTGGACTCAACTCCCACATCTGCTGACTGTGTCGCCTTGCCGTGGGAGAAATCGACTTTGGACCAGACAAATCAATTGATTTCATCGATCAGTAACGATCGAAGCATCAGGGAACAATTACACTTGATCTCCAGTGTCTAACCATTCAAACATTTAGTGGATTCTCATCTGAAATACCATCTCTCAATACCAGAGGGAAATGGTTAATATACTGAGAAAATATACTCACAAAGTCTGTAATTGTCCCAAGTTGTTGAAATAGTTCTGTTCGATTTTGTCCAGGTTGTTGCCATCAAGTAACCTACGAGGGAAACAGGAGGAAGTTGCTAATTCTGAGATACGAAGTCTATACTCAATACAAATAATTACAACACATCAGTTTATTACCAACTTTAATGCATATCCCTTATGATGTTGGCTATATCGCTTTGCAAACTGATCAATTAAAATGTTTTTAAAGCTTCTGAAATCTATAACGGGTACTTTTGAGGTGTATGCGTTAAATCACATTGAACACAATGACAATACTATACTATGCAGAACAGATCTTAAGGTTCTTAAAGTTATGTTACATGTATGGACGATGGCGTTATGCCTTTCTACACGCCTGCTTTTGTACCATTTCAATTCAGTTAATTCAAAGCTTCATCTCGAAGCTCTATAGAGCGAGATGTAATTCATCAACGAATTGCACTGCAACATTCTCAACCTTACGGATCTATTTCGAAAATCTTTTCAAATCTGACAGCCCACCTGACTAATCTAGTATTCCGTGTCTGCATCGTCCATTCACCGTGATTGCTCTTGATTAACTTAATGCAACACAACTAATTCAATACTCGCGTCAGATTCAACATAGCAATACCATCTTGTTTCCATCAAGGTTAAATGTAGAATTCCCAATAGCTAATTACTTACAACGACAGCAAATTGCCCGTGTTAGCGAATGTCATCGGGACTATATCTCTGATGAGGTTGTTATCAAGCTTTCTGAAAACATGAAACATGAAGGACACATTGTATTATAATAGTAGAGTTTGGCTAATCAATTGCAGTGAGTGAATATCGTTTAACGACAGTCAGCAATATTCCTGCTGTAAAGCAGAGGTCTATACACATTCCTGGAATAGTCCAACCAGTGCCTGATATCAGTGGCTAATCACTGCGCCCATCCTTCTAGTCCCCAGATACGCTTTAAATGTTGGGAACGAAAAACTACATGTTTGGAATGTATGTACATGTACCAAAATGAATATTACAACCGATACGATTTGTGAATATTCTGAAGCTGGAAGTTATATTTGTTTGTTGTTTAACGCCGCACTCAGCAATATTAAAGCTATATGACGGCGGTCTGTTAATAATCGAGGCTAGACTAGACAATCCAGTGATCAACAGTATGAGCATCGATCTAGAAAATTGGGATACGATGACATATGTCAATGAAGCAAGCGGGCCTGACGACCCGATCCCGATACTTGCCTGTTAGGACAAGCATGGGTTACTGAAGACCAAATTTAACCAGGGCTCTGACTATGTTCACTGATTCTGAAAATTATAACAGGCAAAATATGCTAACATATAATCAGCATACACAGCCAGTGGTACTTACAAATGTTTTAGCTTTGTAAGCCTGTTGAAATATTCAGGTTTCAGAATGGTTAGACGGTTGTGGCTGAGATATCTGGAAGGAAAAACAAACCGTCCATCTTAAAACGTTCCTTTGCTGTTTTGCTTTGTTTGCTACGTGTACGTATTGGCCTGTTTGATACGTACATTGATGTTACTGTGTATTGGGTTTTACTGTACATGAAAGTTTATTCATCGATTACTCACATACATACATACATACATACATACATACATACATACATACATACATCAGATCCAAAAGTGAGTGAGTGAGTTTAGTTTTACGCCGCAGTCAGCAATATTCCAGCTATATGACTGCGGTCTGTAAATAATCAAGTCTGGACCAGACAATCCAGTCATCAACAGCATGAGCATCCATCTGTGCACTTGGGAACCGATGACATGTGTAGATCCAAAAGTAAAACCACCAAACGATCGACATGAAGTGGTCGAATAGTTAAGAATGTCTGCATCAACAATGTGTCCAACAGTCGTACATCGTATCTTGAATCTTCAAAGTGTCTCACAGAGTCTTACACCGTAACCTGTCTAACTCTTCAACCACTGTAACTTGTCTAGCTCTTCAAAGTGTTTGACACAGTCATGGAATGTAACGTGTCTATCTTTTCAAGGTGGTCTGACAGTGGTATAGTGTAATTTATCTATCTATTCAGGGTATCTGATAACACATGTTATATTTGAGATTACACTTTCTCAGTAAAGTACAGATTCTAGTACATTTGTTGGGTTGAGTCCTACGTGGGATTCGAACCCACACTCTCAGCCATCACGGCTTCCACATAGTTAGGTGCCTGACTGGTTAACGGATGGGACTCAACCCTATACAAAGTACTAAAAAAAGTTCTTTACTGAGAAAGTGTAATCCCAAACATAACATGTGCTACATTTGACCACTTTCTATATGGCAGTGTTCGTATCTGATACAGTTGTACAACATGCATTGTCGAACTCTTCAGCTACTGTATAGTCCGTTTGGCTCAAACGCGGACCGATGAATTGCAATCTAACTCGAAAACTAATAAACATATAATACTCAATGAAACGCTGATCATAATCAAAACATCAGACCAACTCTGTGATTTGTTTGCAGAATTTATAAAGTTATTGATTCATTAACCTGTGCTGTGCCGTCTCCATCCTTTCTCGCACACCTGGCTGTCCCTTTCTCTGCACTCCTCCCTCGTAACACATAGTGAACTGTGTCAATATTTTAATGATAGTTTGTTAAACAACTTTTTTATTTTTAGGACATAAATTCTGCAAAAACCTCACAGAGTAGGTCTGACGTTTTCATTATGATCAGTGTTTCATTGAGTATTTTATGGTTATTAGTTTTCGAGTTAGATTGCAATTCATCGGACCGCTTTTGAGCCAAACGGACTATAACTTGCAATTGTCCAGCTCTTGGAAGTTTCTGACACGGTCCAGCTACAGAATGCGTCAGACAAAACCCACACTGCCTCTTGTCTAGCTCAACAACCTGTTAACAACCATACTCTGTAAGATGTTTAAAAATCAATGTGTCTGACACACCATGACACACTCGCACAAAACATAACCTGTCTCATTCTACAATGTGTCTTGTACACACATCCAACGTAACAGCAGCCAATGCACAATGCATTGTACTTTTATCACGCATTCAATCAATTACAACTAATTCCCCCCCAAAAAATTTCATTTCCATGTATACTGACACAAAAATATTCAATATACATTATTCGTGCTCCCTAAAAATGTTTTATGCATGGACTGTCTTGAATTGGAGATCTGGCCCCGATTTCTCGAAACAAACTTAAGTTTTGACTCAAATTTCAAACTGAGTTTGACAATTTGAAACTGCTGAATTTTTAACTCAACTGCATTTTTTAAATAAAAAAATCCGAAACAACTTAAGTAATCTATCCACCAAACTCAAATTGTCTACGAAGTTTGAGTTTAATATTGATTTCAGTTTATTCTGGGAAATGCATTTTCCTGTGTTTTCTCAAATTTGAGTAAAAACTCTGACTTAAGTCAAAACCTCAGACTTAAATTTGTTTCAAGAAATCGGGGCCTGATCTTTTTCTACAAAATAACATATTGCTGAATGTCATGTCAAGACATATCTGCAATCTGTTGAACTAACATGCCCTTTACAAGAATTTGTTTTAAGGAAAAGCATATTCTAAAAGAGACAAATGGAATAGCAAGACGTCAAATTCTAGTTTCGCCTTAACACCTAAGCCCACACACAGGCCGTTACAAAGAAACAGCTGCAACCATCGATCAAACAACGCAATAAAATGATGAAGTTTGAATGTCAAACTGTATTGTTGAAGGACATGAATAGAATCTAATCTGATCAGCACAGATATGAGAAGGAAGTGTCCTGACCGATTTCCTGTGGAGATATGTCTTTGAGCTAGCGAGACTTTTTACTGTCTTCATTGTTGTCCTTCAAGAGAGTCAGAGCGCCCTACCACGGCTTTTTGGAGGACGCGGAGAGCGTCGTTTTGTTTGTGCTTTAGTGCCGCCATTAGCAATATTTCAGCTGTATGGTGGCTGCATGTATGATAATGGAGTCTAGACTGAGCAAATTAGTGATTGATATTATGAACGACAGAGGGATAGAGAGACACAGAGACAACCAGCCAGACAAGTAGACAGACAGACAGACACAGAGAGACTAACAACGACACAAAGACAGATATTATGTGATAGCTGCCTGTTAAACCATGGATGATGGAGTCACAGAGAGAGATATATACCGACAGAAAATGATGGCGGCCTGCCTGTAATAATATAATAAGCAAACCGTTGATTGATATTATGAGCTACAGACAGAGGCAGACAGACAGAGAGAGACAGACAGAGACGGAGTATGATGGCGGTATGTAACACAATGGAGTTTGTTTTGGACAGCACATCTAATTGATGCAGCTGCTCGGAAGTATTAACCCGTGAAGATGTTCAAGGCAAACAAGAAGTTGACATCTTCCTACTTTTAAAAATAACAGGCTGTTCTTTCAGCCATATTCTTTTAAAGTTAACAGTTATACAAAAGTATAGAACTATCAACTCTTCCTGCAGAGTAAGTAAAGAAAAGTAAGTCTAAGTCTGTATTCTAAGAGCACAAAACACATACACAAGAGCAGTATCTCAAGGTCTACATTTTCACACCCTAGGTACGCAATACAACTACCACCATACAACTTAGAGGTTTTAAATTATAATAAAACCATACCCTGATGCCATGAAGAGAATAATTTAGTTTTAGTCTGCAATCCAAACACTATCTCTTACTGGACGGTTGGTTGGTTTGGTTGGTTGGTTGGTTGTTTAACGTCGCACACAGCAATATTCCAACTATATGCGACGACCTGTAAATAATCTAGTCTGGACCAGATAACATAGTGATCAACAGCATGAGCATCGATCTACGGAATTGTGTCAACTAAGTCAGCGAGTCTGACCACCTGATCCCGTTAGTCGCCTGTTACGACAAGCATGCCATTGGGTTACTGAAGACCAATTCGTACCCGGATGTTCACAGGCCTTTTAGAAGGAAATGAATGACATTGTCCATATAAGGGCCATGCCTTGCACCTTCAATAAACATGATGTTCATAATTCATGACACTTTATGATACATGTGTCTCATACTTACAACTCTTCTACGTTATTGTTCTCGGGGAACATGTCTTGCGGGAGGTCTCTCAGCAGGTTGTCTGTGAGGTATCTGCAGGAAGAACAGGTAATCAGCGGGATGTCACAAAGCTCGAGGATAGATTCAACAAGTAACCTACTCCTTGTTAAGAGTAACCTTACTTAAAGAAGGTCATATCTCCGCGGGATTAATGTAATACAAACACGTTAACATATACCTTGGTTTTATTAAATTATACCATAAGAATAACTTTCTCATGATACCACTTAAGCAAATATGGATGGCGCACACTGACAATGCAATTATAAACCCTTCTCTTAGAATGGTGTTATGGACAGCGACGTATAACGTATGGTGCCTTCAAGCAACAACGCAACATGAGTTCACAACGTTATTATTGAGTTATTTTGTCTGAGAGCAACAGCCCTCGATCCCGAAGTCGCTCTATTATCGTTCTTCGCAGAGGACGCCGACGATCCGTAACCTATTGGATAACTTTGTATTGAGTACAGATTATACACAAAGGGAACGCTGATACTGATTGTGTGTCCGCAGGGATGGTGCCATATCATTTATATCATGTTTGTTTCTTTGCACAAGTACAGAAAAACATGTTCTCGATAACACATTGAAGTATCAAAGCAATAAAGGAGTTAGTAAACGGGCATTGTTCAATGTGGTTGTTGATATCTTGTAGTTGACACTCAAGCTAAATAAAATAACAAGCGCATATCCTTGGAGGAGAAATGATAATGGCGGTTTATCAGATTCAGACTACATTGGTTGTGTACTTTTCTGATAAGACCAAATGAAACTGAGAATTATCTGCAAGCTTTAAAGGAATTGGTGACTCGTTACACTTTCAACCTACGCACAACGGCCTTACGAAACCGAGGTAGAAAGGTTGTTTACAAAGCAACGTGAGATAACATTGCTGATAATTATTATGACATATATGTACCGTTAATACACGAGGTTCAAAGAGAATTGACGGAAGACCGTAACTCTATCCTGATAAGGACATGTGACGTTTATGAAGGTGTTCACTCGTTTGAATCTGAACGTGAGGACACTGGTTCAAACTCGGCCGTGTTAACTTCTCAACTGTCGTAATGTTTGAGTGACTTCAGAGAGTTAACCGCATTCAACCATTGTCTTGCAGTATCACGGCGGGGGACACCAAAACGTGATCTTCAAATATTGTACCGTTGCATTGTGGGGACCCTTGACCTTACAAAGACGAGCGAAAGTTTTAACACCCCCATCCAATTTGGCCAGATTGTTGCTTTCATCTGTTTTCAATCGTTCACTTCGACCATATCGAATTGGAGGCACATCCCCCATATCCCACATGATGTATACCAACGGATTGTGAAGTATCATTATGTTAACCCCTGAGTATGTATCCCACATGATGTATACCAACGGATTGTGAAGTATCATTATGTTAACCCCTGAGTATGTATCCCACATGATGTATACCAACGGATTGTGAAGTATGATTATGTTAACCCCTGAGTATGTATCCCACATGGTGTATACCAACGGATTGTGAAGTATGATTATGTTAACCCCTGAGTATGTATCCCACATGATGTATACCAACGGATTGTGAAGTATGATTATGTTAACCCCTGAGTATGTATCCCATGAAACATGATGTATACCAACGGATTGTGAAGTATCATTATGTTAACTTGAAAATGTATTCACACTGATGTATACCAACGGATTGTGAAAATGTTCCATGATGGGGTGATTACTCATTGAGAGTCAAACTATTGCATACAGGGTCGTTCCTCCTAGAAAATCCATAAATTATGAATGTCAGATTGAATTTAATGGAACGTACTTAAAAGTGTAATACATACATATTTACAAACATGTATACACACACCATACACACATTCATTCATACATACATACATACATACATACATACATACATACATACATACATACATACATACATACATACATACATACATACATACATACATACATACATACATACATACATACATACATACATACAAGGAGATGACGTTAAGAAGACAGTGGGTGAAACTTTTGTATTTGTTCAGTACATCTTTCATTATACATTATACTCACATCTTCCGTAGCTTTGAGCAAGTGTAGAAGGTTTTCCTCTTTATTTCTTCCAGATAACAGTGAGTGATTATTCTGAAAACGGATATGTATTCAGGTATTTATATACAAATACTATTCAAACACATTATACCTAAATGCAAAACAGATTCTACCCCCATCCCCTTTCTTTCGATGATACTCCGATTTTACCATGAGCTTTTCGTAAACGACACCGTTCTGATAGCTGGAATGAAGACCAACATTTATTTGCACAAGAACATGACAATAATCTTAAAAATCATGTCATTATACCACTCCTGTTTTATCTTCTCTTTCACATTAAATTTTACGTTTATGTCATCAATTGAATGTGAGGACGTTATATGCACCCCAGTTGTCTCAGAGTGTGTAAGAAGTTGAACAGACATGAGAAAACTCGGAGTGACTTACAGCTCCTCCAGATCCTCCAAGTCTGTAAAATCGCTGCGTGATACAACTTCAATCCGATTGCCCGACAAATCTCTGAAATGAGGTTATTGATCACCTGTTACATTACGTGTAGCTTAATATAAATATAATCCATTTGAAGATTCCTAGTGAGAACAGAATATTAAGTATTACATCTCAACGTTAAAGTCTCTGAAATCGTATACAACATCAGCTCTTTGACTTGACACATGTTTATGTTTATAAAGTGGCATATTGAGGCGTAATGGCTCATCTAATCACGTCTTATAAGTGTTCTGAGTCTTGCGACATTCTGGACAAGCATGTTGTATTCTGCATTTCGAGAAGGAGAACACGAAATATATCACACTGTATATACATATTACAAAACAACATAACTGGTATATAGTCTACTAAAGACTATACATGTATACAAATTCGAAGTACAAACAGATATTGTTCGTGAATCCAAATAAACACGACAAAAACATTTTTATCATATCAAAACAATGTTTGCTGAAGGCAGACTCAGTATTACGGTTCCGAATAGATCATGGGCAAGGGTATAGAAGTTACTATCAGATAGTGATGATACCAGGGCCTCCTTTCACAAAGCACTAAGGTGATCGTAAGTCACTAAGGTAACCTTAGTGCAATGTTAAAGAATGGGAGTTAAGGTTAACCTTAGCAAAGGTTGCTTCGTGAAAGGAGCCCCAGGTTACGAGACAAATCGAACTTATCCCGTCCCACTAGGACAGGAAACTGCCTGAAACTGACAATCACAGTTTCCGTGAGCGGAAACCTACATGACTCTGACATTACCCAGTTTCACGTAGGTTTCCGGAAATCTGGAATAGTTGTTATTTTTGCCGTGGCTGATGGCAAACATCACAAACACATGCAAAGGCAAGTTAATTGTCAGCCTGAAGAGAAAACTGTTCTGACCGTGCAACATATTAGTACTTTCCCATGAACTCTGTCTGTTTAATCTTTGTGAGACTAATCTTTATGCAACTAATGCGATGTGCCAGTGTGAGGTCGCACCTTTTACGCAGGCAACGTCCGACTGTTGGCTTCAATCTCAAGTCAAATCATTAAGCTACCATATTAACCAAACAGATGAAGAGAACAAACACGGTATCTGTTTGGAAATCCACTACATGGTTATACATAGATCATATTACATGGATAACCAATTGTTTCCTCTTCGTAATGGCGTTTCAGAACTACTGTGTAACCCTTCATCAGGTAAATATGTTAATTTCCCTTCTGTCAATTTATAACTCGACCATGATATATCGCACAGCCAGTGACCTTGTAATGGACATCTATGAATCATTTAAAGAGGTTATGTGGCTCTGCCAGCTATCAAACTTCTTTAACGAAAGGCTAAATCTATATATAATAAGCATTTTGATTGACGTTTAGTAGGAATAATTTGAATACATGACACCGTTTTGGATGGACAGGTTTGTTGTTTTTTTAAATTGACATTTGAGGTCTTGTCCTATCATCAATATAATAATACGGAGCATGCGCACTGCCAAATCTCCTTTATTTATTTATTTATTTATCACTTGTTATATGTATATATAGGGACCAACAAGTACCATATTTTAACGTCTTATGGTATGACGCGGTCGGGGATCGAACCCGCGACCTTCCGCTCTCCGGGCGGACGCTCTAACCACTACACCACGGAGGCGTCGTCACAACGAAGACACGAGTGTGATTCCCCAAATGGGTGCAGTGTGTGAAGCCCATTTCTGGTGTTCCCCGATGTGATATTGCTGGAATATTGCTCAAAGCGACATAACACTATACTCACTTACTCACTCATGATACAACATAGGGTTCATGGACAAATATATATCAACGAGAAGGCTGATGGGGCGTCGACTGGGTGGTTGTCCATTGTTGAATTCCTATCAAAGACTTCATCACAGCTAGTGCAAGAGAAGGGACAAAAGGCTTAAAGAACAATCGAGTGATTAATCGACGTATGCCACGAAGACAACGATTATACCGTATCATGACTGTGATATACGATTTCAGAAAGGAAATGATAGAATCACGATTGTTTCAAAATCGCCAGTGCATGCTTGCCATTATGGTCTTTGTGTTGGAGACACATCATTCACGTAACAGGTTGTGATGTCTGCCTGCGTCCACGTTGATTGTAACAACAATTTATACTTACGACCTCGTGGGCGACACCACAGAACAAACAGAAAAGGGATATATGATTCTGTTATCGTAGCCCAAGGCTCAAAAGGTGAAGGGATAATGTTTAATATTTAAGCA